TTTTTTATCTAATTTCATATGAAAGGGATAAAAGGATGGGAAAGGGTAAAATGGATAAATCATGAAAAAAGGAAAAAAAAAAGTGAATAGATTCTTTTTTTTTTACGAGGATAAGGAGTGGCGAAGAAGGTTTGACTCCTATCTCCATTTTTATTTTCATTTTTAAATTTTTGTTGTTTTTTATTTATTTTTGTTCTTTACAATGTAAAGGATCGGAATATATTTTTACCGAGTTTGCCCTTTATTCATCCTGTTTTTTGCAAACTTTATTGCATCGTTTTTAGTTCAGGTTTCAAATTTTACTTGACCAGTGTTTTTTAATGATTAGTGTTAATTGATATTGGAATTACATTCACTCCTAATATCATTTATCAGTTCTATTGTTTTTTTAGGACATTATTTGTTAGATATTTTGAGTATCTGATGTTTAGAAGTGAAATTTGAGATGAAATTTCATTACGAAATCTCACCAAATTTTAAAAAGTCTTAACAAATTTACTTCTTTTACCATTTCCCTCGATTGACCATAAGATACTCTGGCGAGCGTTGATTTACATTCTAGCTAAAATAATAATTTAACAATTAGTTAGTTCCTCGAATTTTACTGCTTCATTCATGGATTAATGTAACAAAATTCTTTACAATTTAATTGAAAAAATAAAATATGTTAATTATTTGTGAACTTAAAAAAATCAATTTAAATTTAAATATAATAATTATTATCATTTTATCACAGACGTACTACTACGATACAGCAATTCTTCTCATACTATGTTTGTTTTAGGACTAAAATACTATGTGATATATGACTCTTGGTGCCATAATGTGGATTTGCTTCCACTAAAACTAATACTATAATATTAGTCAAACTCATGAATTATCTATGATTATATATAAATATATTCCCTGCCCACGGTGGACAGTGCCCACTAGTTTGTTTTATATGAAAAACGTATTTTGACAATACGTTTTTCAATTAAATTTAATCTAAAAACGTATTCTAGAATACGTTTTTTATATAAAACAAACTAGTGGGCACTGCCCACCGTGGGCAGGTGAACGGGACTATGATTATATATATAATCTCTAATGTTCTAATTATTTATTTATTTGTCTTAGGTGGAGGCATCCTTGCCCCCACTTTCTGCTTCCATCATTGCCTCAATTAGATTTTTTATTTTTATTTTTTTTTATTCTACAATATGAAATTATATATTGTCCATTAAAATATTATTTTCTCCAAGTCAAGTGAACCTCTATTGATTTCTTCACTTTTATTTTGATTGTTTAGCCTATATAACCCTCAACCAACTCCTGTATAAAATTGGATTATCACATCAATACATTTGTATGACTCGGCCTAACCTAAACACTAGTTATATCTTTATTTTAACAAAATTACATATTCATGTGACATGTTATACATGAGTCCGCTTCAGCGACGAATCTAGAAAAATATATTGATGGAGGCAATATTACTTTCAATAATGTTAACATTTAACATAAGAGCAAAAATGCAGACGATCTAAACTATGGTAATAGTTTTTTTTAAGTACTGAAAGCTATATAAATAGAGAACCAATAAACTTTAAAAAAAAAAATATAGGCTCTCATTCTCTCAATTAATATTATATTTTTTCTCAACCACAAAAAATACATACTTAGGGTGTTTTTGTTTTATTGTTTATCAAATTACTTCTCATGTATCATAGAATGTAAATATGAATAAAAACTAAATAATATAAAAAATTGTGTATAGAGAACTTACAAGAATTATAGCTAAAAGTAAACTAAAAATAAAGAGTAAAGTGGCTTACATGACTTTTTGTTTTTTCATTTTATTTAGATAAAAAAATAAGTTAATATGAGTAATATACACCTCATTGGATAAATTTTGGGGGAGACAATGGCCTCCCCTAATGTTCATGTAGATCCACCACTGGTCGGCTTAACCGTTTGACACGCTGATTTGTCAAAAATTTTGTTAACAAATTTAAACCATTATTGTTAAACAGGAATTAACAACGATAATTAAATTGTAATATCTCGATATAGTAGAAAAAATAAGCAACTATCAAGCGTAAAAGACGTCGGTTTGAATTGTTGATGACGTCGGATTTTATTCGAATGTTTAATGCGTATTACGAAATTATTGAAAGTCAAAAGTCCCTTTACAAATGACTAAATCCGCTATTTATAGAGCGGTTGACCCACCGTACGAGGTAGGTGTGATCGCATTTAATGTAAAGTAGCTTTTCAGATGCGATTGTCTGTCGGGTGGACGACAATCATGATGATCAGATGAGTTACCGCCGTCTTATCCTTTGAAAGTCAACTCTTACAGACCTCGGTTGGCAAGGTTACGGTCATTGAAAGACCTCAGTTGATACGGTGAAATGATCGTGTTATGATTTTATCTCCGAGGGATGACTTCAGTTTTTACTCTTGTTGCATCCGAGGTGTCAATACTTAGCGGCAAGGCGTCACCAGAGTGGGATTAGCAACATGCATGTCTTGATTTGGTGATTACTGAAAAATATGTCAACAACCATGTTATATATATATTTAAGTCGACCTAATTGTTAGACCGTCGACTCTCATAATGCTTAATAAAAATTCACTCATATTATACATATCATACTTTTTGTGTATTTTTTGTTTATGTTATTATTTTAAACTCAAAAGTCTTGCATATATGTTAAGAAGATATATTTTGCTAATTAGGCTCAATAACATTTGGGATTCTTAAGATTGAGACGTAATTTAAAAAATAAAATTCCAGCAGTGAACGTAACAATTAATTTAACCGAGTTATTAGGCTTGATTTGTGAGAGGATTAATTAGGATAGCATATATTTGCATAGTGTAGTGCACTAGTGTGTGTGGAGTGATTTTAGATACAATAGTTGACAGCTAGAGTCCAGCTTCGATGGGGTGTGCGCGTAACACTGATACGATCCCCAGTGTGGGCCCCGCACCACGTGAAACTCTCGACTCTAGCCGTTAGATTGGCCCCGAAATCGTCGGCTCAGGTGACACTTGTGCCTTGACCTTATCCTGCCGACACTTTGGTGGGTTTTTAATGCGTGGGCCTTGCTGTTCTTTTTAGATTTGAACCCTGGGCCCATTGGGTTTAATCACCTTCCTTTTTTTTGGGCAATTTGCATTTATACTACACGATTTTAAAAATATTATAAAAATACAAGATGCTAGATTTTAATTGCATGGTTATCATTTTCTGTGCTTTTATTTGTTGCTCAAGCAAAAACTTCCGTTATGTTTTAACCCACCTTCCTACAATTACGCAACCTTCCTACAATCAAGCAAAAAAATGGATTAAAAGATAAGGTAAGTGTATTTAATCCAATAATTAGGAATCTGTTCATAACAAATGGAAAAAGAGATATAATTAAGAATTTGCTCACCCTCAATCAAAACTACGGCGTCGCATGTCGGTCAAAGTGTATATCTTAGGTATATTTTATGTATATGTGAGGATTGGAATGAGATCCGCAGTTCAGGAATCGAGTGTATATTTTAGGTATATTTTGTGTATATTTGGGTTCTTAAATCGATTTTGAGAAATGATTGAAACTCAAGTGTACAATTAAAGTATATTTTATGTATATGTGTGTCCTGATCTGTCGCTGGCTTAAATTACGAGAATCTCGAGTGTATATTTCATGTATATTTATGTATATGTGTGTTGTACACTTTGGTATATAGGGTATATATCTGTAACATATAAATTTTCATATCCGATGGTAACATATAAATCATGTACAAAATTTTCATACCTGAAACATATAAACTTTCATATATAAAAAAAAAAATGATAATCAACCGAAAAAAAAAACAAATTTCTCAATTGTCGTGCGCGCAGGATTTGAACGTGAACATCGAGAGGTCGCGGCTAGACTCCTTCACCGAGGTCTCTACGCGATCCATCTTCTTATTCTTGGACGATTTCTTAAGAAGGGCCGCGGTGGTGGGGTTTGCATCGGTCGTCTTCATAGTCTCGAGCTTTTTGGAGGCTCTTGTCGATGGTGGACCTGATGGATTTGTAGGATGTCGCTTTACTCCCAGCGGCTCCGCCAATCAATAACTCCGCCAACCCATCTCATCTAAGCCGATGTCGCCGTCTTCCACCGATCAGGAAAAAAAAAGAGAGAAAGAGAGGGAGAAAGAAGACGGAGAAGAAGAGATATTGGGAGAGATAGATAGAGAGAGAAAGTGTCGTGATAAGTGGGAGAGAGAGATATGAAGGTGATAAGGCTACCTTTATCTTTAAGTACACATAATTGTATATTTAAACTAGTATTTGATTCTGTGCATTTGCACATATATAAAACACATTTTTGTTTGTATTTATTAATTAGACAAGTACTTCTATTATACAAAAAGTATTACTTTTTTCTTAAGTTAATTTTTATCATTCAAATTTAATTGAAATTTAAATTTTATTTAACCATGCAACGTTTACATTAGTAACATGAATAAAATAATTTATATATTTGTGGCATATATTAAGACAATTAACATAATTAAAAAAAAATATTGGTGTTTTTTATTTTTAGAAAATAAAAATAAAAATGTGTCAATCATATTTTTCTTCCAACAATGCAACCAAATACAGCGGTTACAGCGTTGAATGTGTCAATCAACTTTAAGTTCCAACATTAGTCGTTACACATTTGAATATTTTGCTACCAAATTTAAAATTAATTTAGTAACTGATCCAAAAAATAAATAATAAAAATAAATATATTAAGGTGTAACGATTTTAACAATTACTGAGTAATTAATTAAAAAATGTAACTCCTTTTGGAGGAAAATTCAAATAGGTTTTATTAAATATTTTATTAAATGCATCAGCTAGTAATTATATATATATAGATTAATCATTTTATAAATCTTGTAATTTTGCAATTAATTTTATAGATATAGTAATTTTG